GTCCCCAGCCCCTGCCCAGCCTCCAGCCCCTGACCTCGCTGGTCAAAGCAGCTGCAACCAATGGCAGCAGATTTTTATTTCTTTGCTTTTCCATCAAGCGTCTGTGGAGCGAGATCCTGAGCAATGGAGTAAGATCCATTTTACACAGGCCACCAATTACCATCAGAGAGTGATGGTTCTCCATCGGTGAATTTAAAAGATGATTGAGAAATGATAGATTTCATTTCCCACTTCTCCTCACTTAGCTGGCCACCAGCTGATGTAGTACATCAATTTTTAAAATATTCCCTAGATTTACAGTGTTTTCACTATTCATAATACAAAGCAATTCTGGAGTATATAATGCATAACGAGCTAACAAGAAAACTTCTAGAAAACTAGAGAGAAGTTACCAGCATCCAGCTGGGCTCAGTTCTGCCAGTATTGCAGCTTTTGGAAGGAACCTCAGTGCACATAATAATTCCATCATTTGGAAAGCTTCCTGACACAAATAAGCTCTTCATCCATGGGGATGTATAAGGAGAGACATACGCCCCTCTATGAATTAATGTCTCCTTCCACATTCTAAATGCTTAATGCAAAACATCTTCAAAGATCATAATTGTAAGGTTATTATACAGTTTAACTCCCACAGAAAGTACATGGAGCTAAGTGCATATTTGTCACTGCAGCGGGGCCAGAACTGGGTTTTCCTGGCTTCTAAAATCAGAAAATTGCACTTTTCCAAATGGGCTTTTGATAACAGCTTATTGTTTTCAATCCACAGAATTCAAAACAGCACTACTTACAGTTTTTTGTTTGAGACAGAAATGCCAAGTACTCAACTCCGCAAAGCACAGGAAATGCAAATCGTGTATATACAAAGCACAAAGACTAGTCTTTTATTTGTACTTATAGCACTAGAGCTACCAAATAATATCTCCATGCAGAAATCAGAAATGTAACTGTTAATGCCTGCATGCATGTACTTACTTCCAAACTGTAATCACCGTATAAAATACATGTGGTTGTTTAGATTCAGCTGTGGGATTATAGTCCTCTTGCTCTTTCTGAAGGCAAGTATAATTGAGAATAGGCTCAAATTTACCCTGATTTTCACATGGGCCAAACCCATGGAGCCCAAGAGAACTGGACCAAGACCAGTGAGTCCATCCTGCTCAGTACTCGGGACCCGCCGGCTCCTGCTGCCCAGCTCAGCTCAGCACAGCTGGAAGCAGGAGACCATGGCTGTGTCAGCCTCCTCCCAGAGTCAGGGTCAGGTTGAAATGCTCACCTTGCAACTCACGTGCAAGAGATTCATATAAAGCCTAACCCCTGCTGTTGCACTGTATCCGAGTATGTTCTTTTTCCCTATGTCATCTGTGTTAAATTCCTGTCTTTAAATTAAGTCTCCCTTTCCCTCAAGACTCCACAGAAGTAAATCAATGGTTCATTTCAAGTTCTTACTGAAGCCTGAATTTATTTTGAAATAGAGCCCAAGGAAAAAATAAAGCAAGCTAATTAAGTATTGCTTTGGGCTCAATAATATCAATGCTCTTGTCGCCTACTTACATTGTTTCAATTCTGCTTTGAAGTTGTTTTCACATATTTCTGGTTGTTTGCCTAGTGTTTGTGTCAGCACCATATTAAAAATCAAGACTTATTTATCTAATTAGCACTGCCTCATTTCAGCTGCACCTACCAAAGCCAGGTTAACACCCGACAGGCTCACACCGAACAGGTTCCAGCTTCCAATGCAAGACCAGCTGAAGTGATTTACCCAACTCGGCAGGTCGTGCAACTCTCCCTACCATTGCTATGGCATAATCTACAGGACCTACCTGTTAATGCCAAAATCCTAGTTCAGCTAAGCAAACGGGGCAAAAATGTTATAATAAAACTTCTTCTGACACTCAACCTGCATCTCTTTTCAGTTAATTTCTTTTCTCATGATCAACTGAATGTGAATGTTCTGCCCTGGCTCATAGTCCACTGATCAATGTAGTCCATGCAGAAAGCGAAAAGAGTATATTCTTTTTATCATCCTACCATTCCACTAAGCAATTTGGGCTATAACGCATATTTAAGTGAGTTCACTTCGTTTACTTTGTGATTTGCGTGAACTGTTTGCAATTTTATAATAGACATATAAATATATATATCTTTGCACATTATAAATTTGTGTATTAAAATGATGCTAAGCAGAGGTTCTAATCTGGATGTCATGACAAAAATCTACATGTTATTTTGAAGAGAAAAGTGACTTAAGATTCAGATCCTTAATTCAGAATTGAGATTCTTAATAAAAGTAAACCCAAAGAGAACTCTAAACCTCATGTATAAATCTAGAAATTCAAATGATAAAGGTTTTCTGTATCACTAATACTCATCTCTACTTACATACCACAATATGCCTATCTGCACAATTTTTTTCACTGAAGATACACAAAACACAACTTTACAACAAACATCTGTTTTGAAACAGCTTTTTCAAATAGCAACTGAAAATAAAGGATTATCCAAAGTAAAGATCCATGTGACACACTTGCAGGAACCCTTTCCAACACGTATGCTAAAAACTTTTAGATATGGAGTTCTGCTACGATTATTAACCTTACAAAACTGTCATGTGTGTTTTCTGCCTGTATGTAACAAATATAAAACCTGCTCTTACCATGACAGTGACAGAAGAAATAGCATTTCCATCGCTGAAACTATACAATTTGTATGCATGTGGTACAAAGCATAGCTTTACACCTGCCTGCCTCTCTTCTCTGCCAGAGGCTGGGACTGTTACCCACAACCTGTGCCAAAGGCCGAGCACACGGACAGACAGTGATGCCGGGACACAGAAAAGACTCCTCA